GAGCGGGAGCCGGTCCGGGATTTGATCCCACTACACGCATGTGGTAATCGGGCCCACTTCCCAGTATATCACCTCCAGAGGTATAATAAGATGCAACAGTAGAAAGTGAGACTCCTGCAATATCGGAAATACAGTAGGAATGTGACAGTGACGGATGAGTTCGTTCTCGTTGATCGCCTACTAATTGTAAACGATACCACGCGAGTCGGGACGGGGCGAAAAAGTGGGCCATAGACGTGGGCGTGGTCGCGTTTGCGCAAGAGAATGCAATTTCTGCACCAGAAAGTAGATGAACCTCGCGATTGCTGGTGCAGCTGTGGAGCCAAGGATCCCTATTATGCAACCGATCCACGATGAAGATCCTCTTCAACGCCCATCACATGCACAAAGGTCGATGGCGGAAAGTTTGTGTAAGCGCACACTCGACGATGCTGGACGTCCTCAGCCTGTTCGCCTTGAACAAACCGCCGGTTAGCCGAAGAAAGCAGAACGATTGGTGGTCGCTTGGTGTGAGAGCGCGATCGATCGCGCTATCGGGAGGAAATCAATGCGTAGAAAGACATCATAATGACAGCACAACCATCAGATTACCGATTGAAATTTGATTGACGTTTGACGATCCACTCAGCTCCTGACCCACCAGGGAAAAAGGGGGTGTTCGAGGAGGAAAGAGTGCAAGCAAGGGTGGCCTGGAGAACACTGGGGACTCCACTACTAGGGATACTGCTTTCTCATTTATGAAGTGGGTAGGAGCTAGTTTCGATAAGAACTCGGGAAGCAATCAGGCAGCATTTATTACAGCAGTAAGAGTGTAATAAAAATCCAGTGCTCAAATAGTTAAGCAGTAGTAATACCGAAAAAGTGCATATTCCTGATGGAGGGTGCAGCATCGTGATGGTGAAATGCCGGTGTCAGTACGACCCTCCCCCCTTTCCCATCCCACCTACCATCTTCCCAACATCTACCAACTTCACAAATTAATGCTGGGTAAACTTATCCAGTTATTCTCAACAAAACTAGTATGGCAGGCGGGGAGCTGGAGATTGTTCTTCTGCAACTATCAACATAAACTGTTAAAAGTCAGTTATACACTGGTATCGTGCTTACCGCATGTCCTGCCGTTGGGGGTAATTTTTGCGAAAAGCGACCCTCCCTCAAGATTTCCTCCTCTGATACAATCCTCCAACAACCAAACTGGCCTGCTTCTAGGTGGAGATCACCAACAACGACTGACGGACGATGACACCACTTCTCCAAGGAACGGGGTGGATATACAACAGGAGTGAAGGAATCGAAAAATAGCAGTTACGACTTCCCGCAGCGACCAAAGTGAACTCCCCCATGGGGTCCTCCCAACACTGCTGCACAATGAAATGATGTTAGAATACTTCAGATTTCGAGACCAAGAGGCGGATTCGACCACTCTATAGTCCCAGGATAAATAGATGACGAAGGAAGTCTGAGTAGGAGAATGAGCCTTCGCTAGACTAGGATCGTACGCTACGCGCAGGATCCTGCATGGCGAAGTACTGTAGAATTCACCATCTCCGACCGCGTCAGACTACACTGATTCAATCAGCTCGGTCAAGCTTGTAATGGGTTAAAGGGAATAAGTACAACCATAGGACACCGACGGGGATCATACCAGTGGGACCATAGAAGCACTTCTCCACCCCTGACCCTGACTGCTCCTGAAAAGTTCTCGACCGTGGGTACGACGTCTCTGAACTGGAAACGCTGTGCGCTGAGGAGTCCTCTCGGGAGGGTGGGAGCCGTTATATGCACTGGTTAGTGGAGCTACCTTACTTCTGTGATGAAGTGGTAAGTTTGATTCTCTCTCCCCTCGACCCACATCGCATTTGCTGAAAAAAATTTTCTCTCCCGGCTTTCCTTCTTTCGACTCAACTTTCAATGACAAGCCATTTAATCAAGCTAATTCGTTACCCAAGAGAAAAAGCGCTAAGGTTCATGAAGGTACTGGGGCAGACTAGAATTTATCGAAGCGATTCGTCCCGAAAATTCAGCGCAGCGAATAAGGTAAGCAGAGTTTGGCCGTGCGACTAAATCTGCTTAATGGTGGCCTACATATCCATTGCTCCGTGTGTGAAAAGTAAGTTTTTATGACAGGAAGTCAGTGTTTGGTTGGGAATGTCCGATTGAGGTGACGTGGCTCTGAGATCTACAAAAACCACTTCCACCTGTTCTATTGTTAGTGGTGACCCTGTGAGCGAGGGGCAGAAAACTGTAGAGGAATAATGAGGAACAATCGTAGATTTAGCCAAAAAATCGAATAAATGAGAAATGTCGACGGCGGGGGGGGAAGTAGAAAACAAAGAGGTTGCCCAGTCTCCGTTTCGCACGTGCCCTTATACTGGGGCCGAGCAGAAGCGTTTAGCGCCCTCTCTGATTATGCTTATAGAAGGCAGGGCACGTCCTATCGTTGGTGGAACTTTTTGAAAAATATGCTTTTCCCCTTAAGGCTTCTCCTCTGCTACGACCCCCTTCTCCATCATCCCACCCTACACACCATCTTCTCAAATTGTCTCAAACCTTTCTACCACTTTTCAGGGAAATCTCAATCTTCAATTTCTCTCCCTTCAATTTTCGCCGAATAATTGCCGTCGAGCGGGAAAGGGGAGAAGGGAACGGAAAAGAACCAAAAACGTACCTCTCATGAGCAAACACGACCCCCCCCCTCACTGGGGACATGGTAGAATCGGTGCTAAACGTGGATGAGGGACGACAGCGAGCGACAACGAGCGGCAATGGACGACAGTTATCGACGGGATACGCGTGCAGAAAACAGTTAAAGTTATACCACAAACTCAAGACTCGACAGCTCAAGAAAGTAAGGGCACGTTCAACGCCTAAAGGGGTCAGGCTGCATTTATCGTCATGCCAAACAGTAAATGCTACCTAAAAAATGGACTGGAGGGCACCGGGTAAAAGTCCTGCCAGAACGATTTATTTTCACATGTCAATATGGCCGTTATTCCTTATGTAAGTTGATGGCAAACTGAAACGCAACTTACCAACAAACTCGAAGTATCGAAGCTCAAGTAGTAAGGGGCATGCCTTTAACAAAGCTGGCGTCAGGTTGCATTCATAAGTCCGCGAATACTATTCTGGTTTCGCAAAAAAATTTTGCGCGAGCATTATGTTAGATTTGTGATTGAACTCCGCTAGTTTCGTATTTGTGGCACCTACAGTTGCCATACAGTTCGAAAAATTCGCCGTTATGAATGGATACCGTCTTTCAGGCGGGGGGTGTTGCAGTGAACAAGTACTTAGCCTGCTTACCATATGCGCAATCCCGTTCCAGCTGAACCAAGCCTTTTACCCTCCAAGGACGGTAACTTGGCATAGATTGGGAGGATAAAAACATTGACTTGTACATTGGCAGGCCGAGCAAGTCACCGTACAGGTCACACCGCATCCAGTAAGCCGGGACGGCTTTAAAAGGGAGTAGAATAGGTGGCGCATCATTTATTGATATACACTCAAGGGTGCGCCACAAGTTATGAGAAGAAACCAACACAGTTAGTGCATAATACAGCAGGTATACTAATAAAAAAAAGAATAAAACATTTGGAAACAACGTAATATCATTTAAATGAGCAAAAAATGAGCAAAAAAAATTAGGAATAATTCAAAGGAAAAACTAGGTAAAGCATATAGGCTGTGTTTCGAAGCGGGATCAGAAAAATCAGAAAAATTACCGGGACCTTCCCTGTGTGTAGTGTAAGGCTGTTTTCCCCTTCAGGCAGATGAAAGAGTCCCCCGCGAGATCCTGGTCCTTGGTTCTGAACGCAAGGATTTTGACGAACAGTACTGGGGCTTGCTGACAACTTAACCCGTTACGAACGAATTCGTCCGGGACCCCAGGCGAACAAACCAAGGGGGACCTCAAGCGAGGGGTTCATCACCCCTCCGGCTCATCAAACAGCTGGTAACACAGTTCGAGCCCGCGGCCGATCTCCAAAACGTACTTTTAAATTGACCAGCCTACAGCCACCTATTACCAAATGGAATTAGCAACAGAAGGTGCCCAAGAACATATTGCCAAAGTACGTGACCTGATCTCAATCATGAAATAGCAAATAATAGACGGGAGTATTCAGTCACTCCCTGAATACAAAGTTTGTCCAGCTAACGCAACAGTTTCTTATCATCTTGCAAGATAGACCACCGGTTGTGAACGAACCAACCACTAGCCTCACCACGCACTAGAAGACATTGACCAGATACCCAGCGTTGAGACTGAAACACGAGAAAGAAAGACGAGAAAGTAACCGAGGTTAAACCAAGTCAGGTATTCTTAAGATGCGCAAGAGGTCAAGCTCACTCAGCCTGCTCTTGAACGACTTACTATTATTTGCTTGAAGAACGTAAGGCGGTAGCAGCTCGAACCATCTTGCGCAACGATTAAACACTATATTGTACATTAATGAATAGTTCTTCGGGTAGATGTGGTCATAGTGAAGATTCAACCCACCCAGCCTTTCAGTGGTGGGACTAAAGCTCCAGTACTTACTAGCCCTTAGCTTGACCTCCTTCCGAATAATACGGAAGCAAAACACCAAATCAGATAAAATCCGTCTATACTGCAACGTATGCAAGGAAAACGCCCTCAATCGAACCCTGTAGGGAGGGATATCGTACCGACCAGTACAGTTTGTGGACCTAAACCAAAGTAGACGAGTGAATACATGTTGGACTTTCTCAACCTTCAATACGTCTTTCCTCAAAGATGGGCTCCATACTTGGGAGCAATACTCAAGGTGTGGTCGGACGTACGCTTTATAAAGCCGCAATAGGGTAGTCGGGTCTGAACTTCGAATATTTCTCATTATAACAAACAGAGCAGAGTACGCTTTTCTGATAATGCAATCAATATGGCTGGAGAATTTCAAATTCGAGTCGAAAATGACTCCAAGATCTTTCTTAGAGTCACAGGTGGGGAGTGTTATACCGTTCACTACATAATCGACTGTTATACCATCTCCAAAATGCATGACGAAGCATTTTCTCAGGTTCAGCGGTATATCCCAGGATGCTGACCACTCACACATTCGTTCAACTGACAGTTTAAGCGCTTGGTGCATGACATCCTATCGTCAGGTCATATGCGCAATAAACTAATGTCATCCGCGTAAATCTGTACTCGGATGTCAGGACGTGTTTTTAGAAGTTGAGGCAACTCCACGGTATATATCAGAAATAGTAAAGGGGATAACACTCCACCTTGAGGAACCCCACTGGTGCAGGGATACCTGCTCGAAAAACTGGTCCCTACCCGAACTGTCATACTCCTCTCCTGTAGGTAACACCTTAACCAGTCTAAAAGCCTACCATGGACACCGTAGAATTCGAAGTTTGCGAACAAGTTTTAGGTGACAGACCTTGTCAAACGCCTTGGTCAAATCGAGGTGAATTACATCCACCGATTTTCCATGATTGATAGATTTACAAATGTCGTACATCGTGTCAAGAAGGTTTGTACATGTCGAAACCCCAGGAAGAAAACCGTGATGTTCGGCAGGGATGAGGTTGATGCGATTGAACCATGCCAACAGTTTAACGAAAATCATCTTCTCCATCACCTTGACAGGTGTGGAAGTGAGGCTGATGGGCCTATGGTCGCTAACTGCTGTAGCTTCGGGATGTTTGGGGATAGCCGTTATGATGGATTCTTTCCAAATTTTTGGAACCTGACCTAAAAGGAAAGAGATGTTGAACATGTGGGCCAAGGGTTTGCAAAGAGAACCACAGCAGTTCCTGAAAATTATTTGTGGAATACCATCAAAAGGCTCACTGAGGGAAGGCTTAAGTTTTTTCAGAACTATATAGACATCTCTGGGGTGGAAATAAATATCAAAGTCCCCGCTTTGAGAACTAGCTGCACCGTACTCCAGGACTCCTGTAGAAGAAACTGGAGCTGAGAAAACACTGGCGAAATATTTACCAAGTGCTTGAGCCTTTGAAGGTTCGCTGAAAAGTGTGGAACCACATAGGTCCTTCAGTGTGGGAAGGGGTGTCTTGGATTTGAACTTGCAGCGAACGTACTGATGCAAACGCTTTAAGGAAGCTTGGTTGCCGAGGTGGCGTTCAAGGTTGGATACGAACTTCTTTAAGTGGTAATCCACATCCCTACAAACTTTCTTGTACAGCGGGCAACTCATGGGATTATCCAGGATCCGAAATAAGCGTTCTTTCTGAGCCAACAAATTCCTGATGTGCAATGGATACTTGATAGGGCGACGCTGAGGAAACTTTAGTGGAACGAATAAGGTCAACGCCTTGTAGACGGTCTTGCAGAATCTCCGGTAAATGTCGTCCATGGAAACGTAGTTGTTGAATAGACCAAGCCAATCAACATTCGAAAGATACTCATTTAGGCGGTCATAGTTCACTTTTAGAAAATCAGGAGTAGGGAGGAGTGCAGCATCACTGAACCCCTCCAGTAACTCGAAGCGAACGGAGGCATGGTCGGAATTTGCAAGAGGAGGAAGAAGTGACACGTTTTGTATGCTGTGCGAAGTGGACAATACCAAGTCAAGGGTGTTGTTGCCATGCGTTGGTTGGAGGACGTGTTGTTCGAGACCACTTTCTTGGAAGAAATCCAGAAAGGCAGCTGAGGAAGCGTTATCTGCCCGTAGGTTTTTCCAGTCAGCCTGTAGATTGAAATCGCCCACAATTATAGAGATGACCTGAGCGGAAACCATCTCACGGAGAACATCAACAAGACTATCGTCTTCACGCCTTGTAGAGTTCGGGGGACGATACACTACGGTGAACCGGAAATGAGTGGCCTTAGGAGGACTGAAAATTTCCAGGCAGAGAACGTCGGCTTTGATTGGGTTGACTTGTTCAACACGATGAACACACAGGTTGCCGCTAACCAGACAACATACTCCACCACCTCGACGCTCCTTTCGATCTTGGCGGAATAAAAAAAATACGAGCAAATTAAAACAGTATTTTCAGAATCGAGGATATTGTCCGTAAGCCATGTCTCTGTAATAAACAAGAGATCAGGCTCATACTGCGAAATGTAGGCACGTAAATGTTCTAACTTGTTCGGCAAACTACGAGCATTAAGCAAACAGCAAGTGAGGGCAGAACCACCATGCGCACTCAAGCGTTTCCCGAGCGTTTATGCTGCAGTTCCGAAGTATGTTTCAGTTGTCCTTGGTGGACTACCCATTCCCGGCTCGCTTTGCCCTTGTTTCGTTGGCGCATCCCTAAGAGATCAATCAACGATTGGAGCTTCATTATTCATAGTTCACAACTGGGTAGTTAGGAAACATTCCATAAAACTGAGAAACCGAGAAATCCAAGTACGCGAATCGAGGGCCTTCCCGTGATACTGTTGCCCAGGACGGAGGTTTTACAGTGCACAGGAACTCGTACAAAGAATCGATAAAATGTACGATCATAACCACTTTTACGACATGATCAATAGCTGAACAGAAAGAACGAACACACACGCGCTGACGAAGCTGTTGAACACAAAGATGGTGACTGATAAGAGCTGCCATACACCGAAATTCACCCTGAACTGGCAGAACTTACTTGTTAGTCATGGACTTCAAATGTTCTGTCAGTACTTGGTACATCAATAGAGAATCGACAGAAAGTTCCGACAGAAAAGGAGAACTCGCACAAATCAAGAAAAAACGAAGCGAAACAGCCATGTGCACGATATCGGCTGGGACAGATCGAGAGGCCATGCCTGTGATCAGAGCGACCCGCAGAGATCACTTAGTACGGCGGTAAAGTAGTTGGGGTCAGGGTCTCCATCATTTTGTGTAAAATACTTACAGAATACGGCCTCCATCAGATGTCCTCCTCTGGTACACCACTCTCCCTCCCCGTTATATATCTTGTCAATCTCCAGAAACTTTTCAACTTCTTAAGCTTTTCAACTTCCAAAAAGTACGTCCCAAAAAAACTGGCATCAAGCAAATGGAGCGAGTAAGGGAGTGGTAACCATTCAACACCTAAGATCGAGTTTCTAACAAGAAATAAGGCTCTTGTTAAATTTCACATAATCATGGTTTGCACTAGATAGCCTGGGGTGAGGAGGTGGGGTAAGAGGAACACTTGGCCCCGTCTAGGCATTCCTTTCCCTAGCA